ATTTTCACGCACTGCCACCACCCATAAGAAACCATTAGACATATGGATTGCTCTCGGACAACACGCTACCACACAGAAGCCCCTCACGTGGGCCAGGTGAGGGGCTTTTGTGTGGTAGCGTGTTGTCCAGGAGCAATCCATATCAATCCATGGTAAATAAATAAATAGCCCCTCATGCCAAAAGTAGGGTAAAAGGAAATTATTTACCTGCTAACACTTGGACAGTCGAAACTCCAAGGATTTTTCAGCCAAAATTAAGAGCGAATAATCAATTATGCTCGAAATTCAAAAAGTGTTTCAAAATTAGTAACCTTGTCGATTTACGTTGTTTGGCGCTTTTACTCAGGCGCATAAGTAAATAAATAAATAAATAAATCCTTGAAGTAACCCTGCAAAAGGTACTCTTTAAAGGGTTCCATATCGAAGTCAAACAATTAACCCTAATCGTCATGGCCCAGATTCACCAAATAACTGTTTATCAACTTTCTTTGCCAACAAAATGTCCGATTGCGAACATCTCTGAAACCGACACTGTGCAAATTTCGTAGAGATGCTACATAGGTCCCTGCAAACCCCTTCTGCAACGTTCAGTACGATACCGAATCACACACGGTGGCGGAAAGGGTGAGGTGTAAAATCAAGTTTGTAGGACGCATATGACATTTTCGGCAAGGACACTGTACAACAGCCATTACTTCAAGCACACCACATCCTGCTGGATGGAGATGAATCATCCCGACGACATTTAATCGAGCACAATCAAAGCCCGTAACAAATAGAAGGAAGACACAATCGCTCTCCATGAGTCGTTCCGGTAGCAGATCCGTCATTGGGAACGTATAAAAACTTCGACGGGGCTAACACACGAGAATTAATCGTACCCTCAACGCGCGAGAATTCTGCAGAAGCTCTGTTATGCCTCGTCTAAAACTTCACACTGTTGTTCTTGTCATGTGTTTACGTCTATGTAGCACAGTGATAGCACAAAATTTGACTAGTAAGTAAGGGCCTTTTGCACGATAGCCGTTGCCTTTAAATTTGTTCGTGAAATTAATTTTAGATCAAATCACCAACTTGGCCAACGATTTCGCTTCATTCAAAAAGGTAAATAATGCCAAATCTATTTAGAACGAGGAACTGATGATGGTGGTTTTCAGGAAATGACGGGCAACGTGAAAGACATCAACAGTGGAATAAAATCCATGGAAGACCGTCTCAAAACCAATACGGTATTTGTCCAAATTGAATTCAGTACTTTTGTTTAAAATAGCTGCTAACATTCGACCAGACTCTATCTTTGGCACTTCCTGTTTTGCTACTTCTTGCTATTGAATTGGAAATGAAAATGGCGTTTTTATACCACTAAAAAAAAAAAATGAAAAATCTTCAGCTGATTAGTGCATTCACTATTGAACAATCACAAAACGGATCATGAAATAGAAATTTTTCAGGATCTTTCAATGTTTTCTACGCTCAATCAAATTTTGGCAGCGAGAAATGCTCAGACGTCCAATTCAAAGCAGGTTAAATTAGTGTTCTTTGAGGATTTCGTCAAAAAATTCTATTCAATTCTCCGCTTTATTATTTCTCACTTTGATGCCAAAGAAACACGAGGGTGTTGTATGAAGTATCGAGATAAAGAAGGAAATTCTACTAAAATACTAAACTACTTCGAATTTGCGATCAGGGGAGAGCTGATAAAGGGAAGACTGTGATCACTAGCAATAAGTACGACTTCAAATGGCAAACTCAAAAGACTTCAGAAACAAACTTCAAGACAAGGCCAACCATCTGTTTGGTTAAGGAATTCCACTAGTGAGGGAGTGTGTGTGGGTTCTCTCAAGGAGGAGGGAGTGGAGAGTTTGAACTTTGAGAGCTGGATATTGTGTATTCAGAAAGAATGGTAGAAGGAATTTTTTGAATTAGTAGTAAATACCTACGAAGTCTGTAGAAGTCTCATATCTCCGCAAGTTTTCACCAATTCATCTATGACAATATGTTCTTTTCCCGGTCGAAAGACCTTGTAGATGGAAGCGTGTAGCGTGTGACGTGTCCATATTTGAATATATTAAGGGAGTACTCGGAGTGGAGGGGAAGGCCGTACCAAGAAGGGAAGAAAAAGCTAGTGTAATTAAACGGGGTAGAGAAAAAAAAAGTAAAGTAAAAGTAACGGAAGATAGGTAAACCTGCGTGAGGTGACAGAGTGAGTGAGAAAGAATGAGAGATAGACCAAAATGAATACATTATCAAGATAATGAAGTCGGGATCAAGGTGGAAATGAAAAAAGGCTGAAGTGTTTGATCAAAAAGGAACCAGAGCTAAGCCTTTTCGTAGCTGTGATTCGAATGCGAAGTACGCGATCTAGTATAGACAAGAAAGAGAATGAAGCAAAGAAACGAAGTTGTCCAAATGTAACACTTTGATGACACTGCGACGCAAAGTTGACCACCAACAAAAAAGACATTACATTGCAGGCGTACACACACTACCGCTAGATTTCGGAGCGTTTCAAACACTTTCCTAAGGTAGTTTAACACGTTGACGACAGCATGACAGCATGCGCGTCAGAATTTTACCCGATTCTGGCTAGTTTTTTTTCCTTCTGGTATTTTTATATTTCAAAACTCTTGTGCAGAAAAACTGTTCATCAATTACCGTAATGTATTATTGGAGCCGTGATGAACGATTGTAAAAAGAAAAGTAACCAAAACCATGTTTCCAGGGTACACGCCCAAGGGGTTGTCGTCATCGTGTTAAGCGTTTCACTAAAACGTATGTCTCATCATCGACGAGTCGAGAAGGAAGAGAAGTGAAGCAACATTAGTAGGGGAGGAAGAGCAGGCGTGAAAGAAGAATGAATTGGAAATATTAGAAAAAAATGAAAAGGGGTTTGTATATCTCAACTTGTCATATATAGGGTAAAAATACAAGCAGCAAGCCAAACAGAATAACGAAGTAGCTTTTGAATTAAAAGCGTAAATATTTCATCTAACTACTTATGCTTACTATCTGTTGATAATTTCTTAATTGGTCCATTACAGAGCCCTGTATTAGATGTCGAATGTGGGTGCCATGGGGACCACGTGTAAGCGCCACATAGTGTACGACAACTGCACCCCAACAGGTAACATTTCCTTGCAGCTGCGCAAATTATATCACTTGTCCCCCAAAGATTCCAAAGAATCTGGTGCTGCAGAAGATATTTACAGACTACTACGACCACTGCAAGCCCGGCAGGCAGTAGTGTAGCGTCGGACTTGATGCGGGTGCTTTTTCGAACTTCTAAGCCTCTTTAATTTTTTTTCTTGTCCCTATTTTTTGTCAAGCTGAAAGCTGAGATAGCCAACGCTCAACCCAGAAACTCAGAAAATCGTTTGACAAGTAAAATTTCAGTTTTAAATCTAATGGCTGCGAAAGCGTTTGCCGACTCTCAGGCATCGCAATTGTACTAAACTTTCTATTGCTGCCCTTTGATCTTAAAACTAAAGGAAACAGAAATTTTGAAGCGCGCATAATTGAACAATTTTTTAGGGATTGGCCAACAGTGGCTGGGACCATTCGGAGACTTGTATCCCACAGCTCCATCGGTACAGTTTTCTATCTGTATCCCAGCCAATTTAAATGATTGCTGCTTAAAAAAAATTGAGTGCCGAGTTGACAGTTCTGACGTAGATTTTCCAAACATAATGGTGGTTAGGAAAACGGATGAAAATAGCAATAACAAAAACAACAAAATAATTTCAGGGCTTTCCAAACATGAGGTGGTTAGGTGCGTTTGGAGGTGATATGCCACGCCTCCAACAGGTAAGTTAGAATCTCATAAAAAATCAAACTCTAACAGATATCGACGTATTTCCAGAAACCACAAGAAATCGTTGACTATCCTGTGATCATCATTCCCGAATCAAGTTTTTACCAAATAGGACAACCACTTCCGAGACCGTACCCCATATATCCGCCGAGTGGATATGATCAGGTGAGCACTTGATGAATCCAAAAATAGGAAGCAATGTCAAAAGAAAGCAGTGCAGAATTCGAATTCTCTGAACTGCCTGTTATCAGCCTTCGCAGAGCTACTCTACTTTAATTTCTGAGCTCTTTACGCTCATTACTTCACTAAAAATGTTGCAACAGCTAATATCCTATGTTTAGTACGCGGTGCCGCCGCCAACCTACTCAACCTACGCGAGACCGCCATAGACAAAGATAACCAGTGAAAGGGCAAGAGGCCTCATAAACTTCACGTGATCGGAACTATACTGAATAAACCTTGAATAGACAGAGAAAAGATCGAAATGAAAAGAAAAGGATATAAAAGCAATATTGAATAAATCGCCTAACCTGAGCGTAAGCCATCTGGGTCACCTTTTGTAAATCGTCTTGTGCTCCCGTAGTAATACGTCCAAAGAAGATTTCTTCAGACACACGACCTCCCATAGTCATACACATCCTAAAAAGTGCACTACAGAAAGATACAAGAGAAACAGGCGAACAATGTGCTTCAAAGCTCAAATAGCTGGAAGGACAACGGCGACATTGAAAGATGACATTTTGAAGCATTAAACAAAGGATTGAGCGATATATAGTAAATACAGAACTTTCAAGCCAACGCAAAAAAGTTCTTCTTTCAGCAAGAGGGAAATTCCGAACATTATAAGCATAGCATTTCCACTTTTGTTTGGTTACTATATTTATCGTATGCTAAAGGGAGGTGGTGCGGCTGGAGGTGAGTTATATATTTCTTGCTTGTGCGTTTTTTTTGGCTATGCGCGCTATTTGTGACACCACTTTTCTTCTGAAATTTCCATTCTTTTTTGGATTCATTTAATCATGTTTCT